AAAACCCCCCCCCCCCCCCCCCCCCTCCGTCTCCCGGCCCTGCCAGAAGGCCGGGATGACAAATACTCAAACGAAGATAAACACCTGCACCAGCATTGCGGCCGACAAGAGCGATGCAGCAGCCAATGCTCCGGCAACATCGCCACAGCCTGCGTTCCTACCGATGGGAAAACTAGGTCGGCGAAGAGCCTTACTTAATGCGGCTGTCAGCGTCGTGTTCCTGGCCGTGCTCCACGGAGCTCCCGCAGTCTTTCCGGTGGCCTTGTTGTGTGGAGCTTTTTGGGTCGGACACGCGCTCAAAGGGACAAGGCTTGCACTGCCAGCGATTTGGGTTATTGCCGTCGTTTATATCTGGCTCAAGGAGAAATGGTACGGGTTGCTCACGTTCGAGGCGGTGCTCGGGAAGGGCTTTGCTGGGCTGGATGGGCTTCAAGGGCTCCACCCGTGGCGGTTGTCATTTAACCTTGTTGTGCTTCGCATCGTGAGCTTTAATGTGGATCTTCACTGGGCGGAGGTTCAGAGGAGGCGGCAAGGTTCTAGCGCAGGAGCGCCCATGGACAGCGATGATAAGGTGTGCGTGACGGGATCTTGCAGTGATTTTGACTGGTTTCGAAAACGATCGATGAAGCTCCCAGCAATTACACACGAGACACGAGAGACCGATCCGAAGGTGTTGTGCAAAACTCAATCCAGGAGTAGCCACACATATTCTAGAATCGGTTGGGGCTTGTGTCCTACCGCATATGACGTAGTCTACATCCAAACACCTTCTCTGAAGCCAAATCCACTAGTCTAAAGTCAAGACTAAACGACACGGCCCGTGATCAAACAAGGTCATTGCGTAGCGAAGTCCTGGACTGGGCACATGTTCCAGATGAGGGCATCATGGAGCACCCGCTCGGGTGTTGGCATGCCCAGACCTGTTGGTGGGGCCGTGCTATCTAAGTCTGCAGCTGCGGTATCTGGACCCATACCATCCATGGTCCACTGCTACTGTTCGCCCCGTCACAGAGCGAACCCCTCAAACTGCGGCTCGTGCAAGGCAACCAGTGCTGGGAGCTACTACTCTAGAACAGCACGTCAGTCTTTGACAGCGCGAAAGAGCAGATGACGGATAGTATGGATCCAGATTTGGGGAGATTTCGAACCGCAGTTGCAGCCTTCCACAGCGCAACCCCTGCCACAGATCTGGGCGTGCCAACGCGCGTGCGTCTACTTCGTGATATCCTCTAGTGGAATATGTGCCCATCTCGGGACCCCGCATACCGGGTGGTCGTTTCGTTTGAGATTTTTGGTATGTTAGATTTTGACAAATGCATACTGACTGTTTTGGGTGCCAAAGGCGACGAGGCGACGTTTGTCGATTTACTCTCTCAGCTCTTGTGCATTACCATGTGCACGGGGTTGACTGACCCATCACTATGAGAGGACCGGCGGGATGGGCCCTCAAGGGGGCGTGAAGGTTCGAATTGTGCTCTGTGTTTCGAACGATGTTTAAGGTCACGGCGTATTCTAGATGAGTTAGCAAAGCGCGGGAGGGCGATATGAGGGACTGAGCTCCTCGTAGATGTATGGCCTTGCACATCTACAGCAGTCCAGACGTGTCCAAAGGAAACAGTCTTGGTTGTATCATGCCCTTCGAGCTAACATGACGTCATCGCAGAACGCAACACGTACTCTCTTCCCTGTTGGTATGTTTGCCCTCTGAACTGGTACGCCTGTGTCAATTTGCCTTCGCGTCGCTGCTGCCGTGGCTCGATACTGTCCTCGGTGCTTGCACCATTTTCCTCGACGCTCTCCGTGTTTCTCGAAGCGACTAGAGCGAAAAGAGATCGACGTGCACGACTACTCATCGAGAGTTTCGGCACACCGCCCTTTGGCCGAGTACTCCCTTGGACACTGCCTCTGCTACGCGTTCTACGCCCCCCTTTACCTGGCCGGGCCTACCGTAACATTCAATGCCTTCGTATCTCACGTGAGTTCCGTGTCGACAGCTACTGCTGTGCTGTTGCTGCCCGTAACATTCTCCTGTGTTGCTGTGTCTCCAACCAGCGAGCTGCTTGTAGATCATACGAAGTAGATTTTTTGGTATGCTCTGACTTTGCAAGTCGTTTGAACGGCAAGGCTGTTTGTGCGAAAGTGACGCATGTTGAATTTTCCTTGAAGCTCCTGTTTAGCGTATTGCCCCATGTCCGGCAGGAGGCCTTGCTCGGACGCCGCATAGCTTAGGATGGCTGCGTTGGTTGCTGCCGCTCTAATAGTAGTGTTGACATTTCGTGGCCCTACTCCCCCCCCGCAAACAGATGGCTTGCCCACAGAAGTCCTACGGCCGATCGCGCATGCTGTTCTACCTCGCGCGGTTTGTTTTCGCGCTGTTACTGTTGGAGTGGAGTGTCCACAACCTGCCGGTCTTCGCGCTTGCCCGCTCAGGGTCTCTCAAGTGAGCTTAGCATACAAGTACATAATGCTGTGCATTTTCCCGAGTCGTGGCTCATTTGAGGAGTGTTATCAGCCTATTACCTTCGACAGTATGCTGTTTTGGAACAAGGTATACTTTGCTATTGGGTCGCTTGCGCACTCGAGAGGAGAGCTGAAGGTTGGACTCACAAATACACATAGGATTCCGAAACATTCTTGATCTGATCCTCCTCAACGCATCCCACCGGGTTTGTTTTCCTCCGATTCGACGCAACAAATTGATGCGAGACCTTCAGCTTCAGCCCTACGATCTTGGGGCTGTTTGCTTACACCATCTTGCTCATCATGTGGCTCAAATTCCTTGTGATATGGAGGCTTTTCCGGTTCTGGGCCCTCTGTGACGGGGTCGAGCCCCCGGAGAACATGCAGGTGAGCGGAGGGTTGTCAAACGACAATAGAGATCCAGGCACCATGTTCCGAAACCTATCATGCATACTGTCGAGCTGGAGTCTTGGAGGTCAACCTCATTGCTCAAAGTCCTGCCGTAGGGCGTTTGTGCTCACTGAGAACGCCCATCGCCGTGGCATATTTTGGGCCACTCCCATGATGCGTTGACGACCAAATCCTTGATCACGGCGCCGTCCTCCCTGGCTCGTGTACAGAGGTGCATGACCAACAACTACTCGGTGGTGGGCTTCTGGAAAGGATGGCACTGCAGCTTCAACAGGTGGCTAGTCCGCTACATTTTCATCCCCTTGGGGGGCTCCAAACCAGGAAGGCGGTGGAACGTGTTCGTTGTGTTCGTTTTCGTGGCCTTCTGGCACGACGTGGAGCCCAAGCTGTTTTTGTGGGGCCTGTTGAATGGCGTCTTCCTTGTGCTGGAGACGACGATCAAGGGCCTGTATCGAAACAGCACCGCGCTCGAAAGCTGTCGAGCCAACCCGCTGAGCAACAGGTACGCTTCATGTATGTTGGCAAGGGTCGTGCTGGTGTTTGTCCCTGCCAGTACGGTCCGCTTGTCGCAGAACCTCTTGGCTGCAGCACAGAGAACCAACGGGGCGAGGCCGGCGTGCGCAATCAATTCGTTCTTGAGCACATCCCAACATCATGTGTACCGCGGCACAGGAGCCACAGCAGTAGAGCCGTGTAGAGAGTAACGTCCGGACAGCCGAAAGTTGCATGTTGGATAATTTTAGCTGCCGACGTTCGCCTGTTGCATCTGTTGCGAACACCTCAGCACTCCGGTATCATTGCAACTACTGCAAATTCACAAGCACATTGCCACGCACAGGCCGCACAGGCAAGCACTGGCGTACGCGATGGATACCATCTCTGATAACTTTGTCGCATATCCCCGTGTTGTGATTGTGATCAGGATGATCGAGGCGTTAGGCGCGACTTCGAACGTGATGGCGCTGATCCTGGTCAACATGATCGGCTACGCCGTGGGCATAAAGGGGGCGGGTCACGTGGCTGGGGGAATTTTTCTCGAAAGGGAAGCACTGATTGCTGTGGCATTGAGCTTCATGTTTGTCTTCAGCGGGGTGCAGGCAAGTGGAAACAGCAGGCAGCAAGGACGGTCCCCACTTCAGATCTTGGCAAATAAGAGATGCAGGGCTCAGATTTCCCACCCAACCGAAGGACTAATTCAGAACTACAGATAACGAGGTACCGGTACGGTGAAGAACCCACATTAGTACGACATTTACAACTTGCTTTCTTTATGCCTTGAGTAGAGATTTGCTTTAAAAGATTCGCGAAGGCGGCGGTCGTGTTTAATCCAGAGGTTCCGTGATGTTCAAGCTTTGGGAATCCTCTTTCGAAATATCGTGCGGCGACGAATGTTGTTCGTGTCTCAAGTGTTCCCGCCCAGTCAAAGAGGGTGCTTTGTCCTAAGGGACACTCTAGGACAAGAACCGAACGTTTTCAGCCGCGAATACGTGGCTGATAACAATATCCGATGCTCGGTTTGAGGCAGCCAATAGGCCGCAAGCATTGCACAAAAAAAAGTATCTCGCTGGGGTCGGTGCTGTGACATTTTCGGTGGCCTTCATCTATCTCTCGAACTTATGCATGCTGTTGGCCAAGGAGTCAAGGGCAGGCCCCCATACCCCCCTCAATTCTTATCACCGAGCCTTGAACAACCTGGGCCGAGACTAGGTGTTGGTGTTGGCTTGGGCGGGGTGTTAGCGTTAGGTGCCAAGCCCAGCAGATTTAGTCAACTGGACCTTAGCTCTACGGCTTGCTCGACTTCAAAATGGGTAGTTGGGTAGATCTTTTCCGCGCTACAGCAGTCTGCTCGTAACCACGATTTACCACGGACCCACCCCATTTGTTCAGATCTCTAGTAACGCGGTCACGCCACTTGCTGATAGTTTTCATCATGCTTCGCCCGCCTTGTTTTCACTAACAGCTCATGTTTTTCATAGAGGAAGCAAGGCAAGGAGGAAAGAAGAAGCTCAACGAACCTGCTCATTCCTACAAGAAGATCGACAAGTCGTGATGGCTCAATACGCAAGCGTCGTGCTGCGGTTGTCGCTTCACGCAATGTGTGCGGGTGTAGTTGGTCTCAGCATCGGCATCGTCGGGATACATACCTTGTCCTCGTGCAGGAGAGTAGCACTAGCCACGTGAGGAACGGGAGGCATGCACGCTCGGAAACCGAGTGCGCCACACCAGGACGGCGTTCTAATGTAGTTTGGTGTCTAATACCAAAAATGGGTTGACTTCAACTTGCGCCAACGTGCATCGCGTGCACCCGAGATACAAGCGATATTCAATTGTGTTCCTGTAGTGATTCCTCGAAATATGCCCACCAAGCACCGTTGTTCCACACACTCTACTTTCTGTTGGTATACATATGCATACCTCCCACCAAAGGCTTGACCGACAACAATCGGGGTCAAGTTTCTCGAGAAAGTTGACCAATTAAAACCAAGCAACCCAACCGTTGTGCTGGGGAAATTCTAAGCTCAACCGTACTACGAAGTACATTCGAGCGCACAGCCCACGTCTACAAATGCTACAAGCCTAGGACACAGAAAGGTAAAATATGTGTATGGACAATCGCGGCACTGCCGCTGTGTACGGGCAAAAGTGCTTTGAGCACATATTTACCGAACAAAGTGACTCAGGCTGTTACCGACGCACCAACGAAACTTGCACCCCTACCTACTATGTGACACACGACCTTGACCTAAACGGTGTCTCCAGCTCGAGGCAGAGTCATAAGTGCGGCCTCTCCGCCCCCTAGGTGGGGTGATGAGGAGACGCAGTCGCAGTGACGGTTACCTCTGAAGGTGTCGCTGACGGCTCGACAGGCACGAACACTAAGCCGGCATCCTCTGATGGCGGTGCTTGCCGGCCTGACTCCTCCCCGGCCTTGCCTCGACCGCATACCTCTGCGGTAGAGTCGACCTCCGCCATACCACCTGGCCTTCCATTGGCACTGGGATTTTGACATGGTGGCGCCGCGTTTTCTTTTGCCAAGGCAGAAGCAGCAACGGCGCCGGCCGCGCCCACTTCGGCCAGGACGGCTATCGCCGCCGCAGCGGCAATTCGCTCTTCCGGAGGTTCGCGGCGCTGGCGGTGGTGCCACAAGGGGGACGGCAACATCGGCGCGGTGGCCGACCGCAGATGGTTGCTGTTTCGCCGTCGAGCGTTTGGGGGAACGGAACTGCTGCTCGCTCGTGACGCATTCCGCTGCTTAGCCACCGACGACGTGGCCAAGTCACCAGCGGTAGCCGAGGCACCGGTAGCGGCGGTAACAACGCCGCGGCTGTTGATGCTGCCTGTGCTCATGCGCGAGCCAGCTGCCGGAGCTTTGGCCACAAAAGGGGCCGAGAACGACGCGAGTGCGAACTCTATTCCGTGGGCCGTGCGGGGAGGCGCCACTTTGCCTGCCGCTATTCTTCGCTGGGTCCAGCCCATTTTTGCCGCACTGTCAGTTGCGCCCACGGTCGCGCTTCCTTGGCTTGCGTTCCCATCGCCAGACGGCTCTGTTTCTGGTGCAGGTGCCGCAGGTTTGTCTCTGTTCGCCGCTCCAGCTTCTTGAGCGGCTTGCGAGTCACTCTCGGGTTTAGGGGCTGGTGCGGTCGTCCCGGTAGACATTGCCGCTCGAAACTCAGCGGGAAGAGGAGGCCGGGCGTTGCTCAATGGCCGAGGCATCTTCGGCAGGGTCGCAGACATTGCTGCAGCAGCCTCTCCGACGCTCCCGATTCTGCCCCCGGAAAAAGTCAAGGCCGGCGTGTAGGCCTTGGTGGCTAGCGCGCCCTCCCATCCATCCAGCAAAACCAGCAATACCGTCATGTTGTCGCAGCCAGCATAGCGCGTGCCCTTTGGGTCGGGTGAGAGGCAAGCATCCAGGAGGCTTTCGCAGACCTCTCGCGGGGCCGAACCAGCGCGAAGTCCTGACCGAACGAACGCCACAACTATGATAGCAAGACGGCAACGACCGGACGACGGCGCGCGGGGCATGAAATGTCAGGAGAGCGCGACCACGGGATCACGCTTTATCCAGACAGGAAAAGTACTCTAATACCAGGTTTCCTTGTTGGGACTGTTGGGTTCCAAGAGTTGGTGCCACGCTTACTCGCTCCATCAATACGCTCAAGCACGTCAAAGTCACTCCTGTCGTCGTGCCAGGCGTCTACATACTTCAAGAAGGATCAGAGGCGATGTCTACGAAATGTTTCGCCGAATGCGAACACGTGATGCTGGCACCAAATGAAAGCGATCGCACCACACACAATCGGACACACTAGCTACCCGAGGTTAGGCCCGACGACTAGCTTCTTTCCAAGCACAAAACCCATTGTACTGTACAGCGGAAACACACAAGGCAAAGCAACCAACCTTGTGTCGTGTTCATCATCTCCCACACTCCGTCGCAGGCCAGTATCAAAAACTCGTCCACGCCGGGGGTTACCATAAATCTGCCGTTGGTGTGCACATGCGGTATCGCGTGTATAGCACATGGATCATGAGGTGGGTTCAACCATGTCGCATGCCGTACCGCATGACGACACTGCGGTGACAAACCATGTCAGGGTTAGGCCGGGGCAATACTCACGACTATCTCCCGGGTAGGCTGATCGACCATTGTAGCCCTGGGGTATGTCTTAGACGTTGGTTTTATCCATAAAACAGAGCACCGGACCTACAAGCATCGTAGCAGCCACCAGTTACATTTTGTTGAGCGCATTGCTGGTGCTTTCGGGTACGTCAGTACCACATGTTTCATTCATGAAATATCCGCTGTACACAACTGCGGCAAGCACTGCTCTTTGACTCCAGAGGAACCATACACCCCTTGTCGATGTTGTCCACACTTGACTCACCTACAAACGTCGGGCTCGGCGGAGATAATTTGGTCTTTCGGTTGCCGAAGGTGGTTTCTTTTGTACACCATATCACCGATGGCTCGAGAGAGGTTCAAATTGTCGTTAACTCGACCAGCTCGCGACACATGCCCACCGGCAGCCTGTGAGCAGTAACGCACAGAATGGCAGGATAAGCATCAAGGTCACAGCATTGGGTGGGGGTAGGATACAATGGCGATACACGCACATGAATGAACAAAGGTCCCATCAGGCTCTCGTCCACCCCCACATGCCGACGCTCAAGTGCGGCCGAACACCACTACATGTTGTATTCACAGGCAGCAGTTGGGTCAAATCGAAATACAGCAATAAAGCTCGTACTGCCAAAAAAGCTTAAGACATAATGGATAATATACTTCCAACCCTCGAGCTCTCGCGAGCAAATTTCTTCTGTAACGCAAAGAGTGGTTGGTGCTCGAAGAAATACGCACGAGAGGTTTTTCTTACTGTTCTCAACAAGGAGAGCACCTCTCTGTTTCGTGCACTTGCGACCCCACAAGGGTATGGACCAGCCGCACACATGATACTTTACCAGATGATGCCTGGCTCAGCCAACTCGTAGGTTCATGTGCACTAATAGCGGGTAGTCACAGACTCGACGCAGAGAGCAAATATAACCTCCTCGTACGCGGAAGACAGGAGACGCAACCAGTGAGCGCATAGAGTTCGAGGATACCGAGACTTGGCAAATCATGAGGAGGGTGAGGCAGTTCTTCACAGCAGCGCTATTGCGCTGGAGAGTCAAAACAAGACCAGAGGCCATTCAGCCTAACCGCCAAAGAGGAAGATTGGTATGGTCTGTGACAGCTCCTTTTCTCCGCTTTGTCATCCCACAGTACCGTCTTGTACTCGTGTCAAGTAACTCTCGTAGTACAGCAGCATTGCCGAATGGCAGAACTCCCAAAAGCTGGAGGACAAAGCACGCCTTGACTACTTCTCCGGGCCGCCAGTAATCAACAAGATGACCCTACATTATTCCTTCAGTGCGAGTGCTGCTGTGTCCACATCGTTCTCACCACTATTCTGGCATACTCGGACGGCATTCCTGGCTTGTGATCTCTTGTCAGCTGCACGGCTCGTCCAGCACGGCACAGCACACACCGCGAGTCACCCGCGTGCGCCACGTAGCACTGGGGGGTCAAGGGAGGGGGGGAGAGGTAACGATACCAATGAAGCCTCAAGGGCTAGATAATAATCGAGTTGAAGCTCTGTGCATTAGCCCTGGACCAAATACCGAGCTCCGTCGCGCAAACAACTGCAGAACATGGTACCACTCAAACCTCATCAGCAATGATGGGGAATACTCGGGTGCGCCCACTCAGTGCTGAAAAGGCAAACTAATCATATCATACACCCCACTGCACACGGTTGACCAGGCCAAGACACGGCATGACCATTGCAACGTACATACCTGTCCTCTTTTCCGGTCCAGCAGGGCTGTCACGATCGTGCAACCCACACCTATCCCGTCAACCTTGGTGGCCCCTCCCCACCCTCCGGTTTTCTCCTGCCCTTCCCCGGACTTCAACAGCGCGTCCAAGGCGTGGTACACGCGGGGAAAACCGTCCCTCCAGTTGCCGGCGCGAATGTCAGGCGACGCGGCCAGCAGGCCTAAAGCGGATCGGTCGATCGAGGAGAGAGATTAACAAGCACACTGCCGGGCAATTGAGACTCCTCGCACAAAGCAAGCTATGATTCAGAAATAAAAGTGTGACCGAGCTCCGATGTGTGTTTGGCGCTTGGCAGCAGCTTGGCAGCAGAGACTTCGACACCTGTCACGGCACACTTCTACTTCGTATATCATTAATATTAACCCTTTTGGGTCTACAGGCGTCCTGACAGATCATTGATTGATTATTTGTACATGCTGGTGTTGTGACATGCCATGGAGTTGCCGCCTTGTATCCCTCCAAGCCAGGTGTTGGCAAGTCAATAGGTAGGTGTGTCTATATTATTCGCATCGACCGCGAACCCGGTGACCAATGAAAAGACGTTAGTGCCAGCGGGTATATCAAGGTCCCTGGAACGGCCAAAATTCGAAAATGCACACTGCTCTAAATGAGAATGCCACCATGAATCTCTCCCAATATCCTTTCACAGAGACACACATCAATAACTCCACATACATACATGCCTTCGCCCGAATCTAGCAAGCAACGCAAAGACAAGAAGACAGCAAAAAAGGAGCACTTCAAGCCTAACCAGGCCAGGACATCGTGGTTTGCTGCATATCCTCCAAATTTGAAAATCGTACACTCCCAAGATCCAGCAGTCATCATGTCAGCAGCTATACTACACAGCAGCAGCAGTATATGTAGACGAGTCCAACATACAGCAGTACTGTAGTAACACATACACTATCATCATAGCCCCACACATACCCTCGCCCGAACCTAGAGAGCCACTGATGAAGGTAGGTGTGTGCTGGTGTGCTTGCGTGCTTGTGGGAAATGTGGGAAAACCACAGGAGCTGCAGTGAGCCGGCAGGGCTCACATCGGCGAGGGGACAGAGAAGTACAGATACAAGAACCAGCTATGGGTCTACAAGCCCTCGCACTGATCATTTTCACTGATCATTTGAATATCTGAAAATAGAGTAGTTTGGGAGGCTTGACGACTGGTCTACAAGCCTAACCTGCCCTAGCGGCCGCACCGCGACCACGCATCAACCCTTCTATGACCCTGTCTGTGCCCACCGTCCTGTCGCGGGCAGCCCTCATGGCTATGGGTGGAGATAGCTGTTGCGTCTACAGAAGTACACTCGTCTCTTTCGGCAAAAAAAAAAAAAAGGAGCAAAGAGTGCGGGGAGAAAGACAGAAATTCCTCTTTTTTTTTTTTGCCGCAAAAATCGCAAAAAAAAAAGAGCTAGACCCGTGATTCCGAACTTTCTGTCAACCAAAGTTGTGGGTCCTCTATTGGGCGGGTACATATGTGACAGGCCGATTCACCCCTGCTACAGCGGGCACGCGCTCTATTCAAAGCCTAAAACAAGGTGATTTTTCTATATGTCCGTGCCAAGAGATTTCACCCGTCCTATATCGAGCACCCACGACTATAACGCTCTTTGTCTTTTTTCGGCAGCGGTGGGAGAGGGCTTCCTACCGCATGACATGCAATGACTAGACAACCTAGTGTATGCTAGATAGATAAAAGAATAGGCTGCACGGCGAACACGAAAACACCCACCAAAGAGCCCCACAACATCATGAAAACTGAGCGTGTTTTGCGCAAGGATGTCTTCACGAGCGGCCGCGTCATGCCACAGGGAGGGCGGCGTCCCCGTTTCAAGCAAATAAAGGCGATGGTGCTAATTTGAACCAAACAAGGCGGTAACCACCAGTTGTTGACACTCTGCACCACACACGAGGAGGGACGTCGTGGGTACTGGATATGAACACCATACTACTGCCCAACCACGCGTGCGAAACCACGCTTAAAGCTATAAAAGGGACAAGTACAAGCCTTCACGAAAGAGTATTTCCCTCCTACTCACCTGGTAGCCGCTCCTTGCAAAAGTCCGCGACCGCTTTGCCCCCGTGTCCGTCGAACACCCCAAACAGAGCCGCATCTTCCAACAAGTCCACCGCTTTCCACCCCGCACCGACGCAGCTGCTTCCATCACCCCCGCCGCCACTATCGTCTGACGCGGCTGCGAAGCCGCTCCTCCCTTTCACTGCCCCAGTAGACGCTCGCCTTGGACCCTCCCTGCTAATTGCTGCGGTCTGCTGTGAGCCTGTCTCATCTTTGAGGCGGCCCTGCTGAGAGAGTCCCTCAGTGTCTCCTGCCGAAAAAGTCTCCGCCCGACGTCGTGCTGCCTGGGCACCCGATGCTGAGGGGCCGTTTGAATCACCTACAGCTGTGATGATACCGCCTCGGCTGCCGCTCCTTCTGAGCGGGGGCTTGTGACTTTGGTTGCTGAAAAGACCTATTCGTGCAGCGCCTATAGCAGCCGAAGTTGGGGGTTGGCCATGCGGAACCTTGAGCAGAGCGATGTGAGCGTCTTCCATCGATGCTCGCCATCCCTGTACAAGCATATCCCGGACATGGTCACAGAACAGAGGCGGACATTTTGGAGCGATCGAGCAGAAAGCGTACAAGGCTGGATTACAGCGCGCATCGCACCTCCACCACAGAAACTGCCCGCCGATGTCGCAAACTGAGAGCAAAATCCACTCTGCAAGCTGTACACCAAGGCAAGGGGTATCCGATGAGATGTAAACACGCTAGCGCATCGTATCTGCGAAGCCCAGAAATACAAAGTTACCTCCAAACCATACTGCACGAGCATGATTGCCATTTGACATTCTATGCGCACAGTACATGGTGCAGGCCAAGAGGCTCACAGGTTCCGGCGTAGGGGACTCGTAATGTCAAGGCTTATGTGGGTGCCCGCAACAGCTGTTGCCTTAGAGAAACGTGCGCGACTGACAGACGTATCAGAGATTTCTGCGCAAGCAGTGGGGTTTTAGAAGCTAGGCTTTGAAGTGTATGTCGTCGTGGGAGTACGGGAGACACGCCCAGAACAAAAACAAATCTCTCACAGCCTGACCGCAAGAAGGGGGGAGTACAGGTGATCCCTCCGCCAACGGTTGGTGACAGCATGCTTTCAGGATAAATATTGAAGCTTTGCAAGCGGCTTTTGGTGCGACTATGCTGTGCCCCTTGTTGCTGCCGCATGTGCTTCTTGCAGGAGAGCACGGAACAACACCAGTTTTGTTTTCCAAAAATGGGAGTCCCTTTTTTCAACTACCTCCGATTTGGACCCTGCTTAGCACAATTGAGCTACCACCTCGTGCTCCTTACACAGACGCACAGACCGTGGCAGTGGCAGGCCACGCAAGTAGAGTACACTCTCAAGCAAGTCATACCCTCAGTCCGCGCGCTGTTTACAACGCCCTCTGTTTTTTCTTGGACGGAGGAAAGGCCGTAACACCTGGGTTCAAGCCCTTTGCTGGTGGTCCCAGGCGAATGCTGTTGCACCTTTCCGAGCAAAATGTTGTCACGCCATGTTTATGTTTCGATAGAGCCACATGACTCCAGTACCATGGTTGATGTAGCTGTGAAGGATGAAGGACGGGACGAAACATGCCGTTATTCTTACCTTTGAGATGACCAGCTCGTACATATGGCCATCAGTTGGTATTCAAAACAAAAATTATTCAAAGTAAACAACGTGCGTTTCTACTACATGTTAAATGGTGGATTCTTTCATAGTGGAGCAACACGTGTGTGTTGCCCTGCCGATCGCACGCTCCGTGGACAACCGAACGGTATGTTGAACGTCCTCCATATTCCACGCACAGCGGCGGATTTCGTCACAAGTAAAATGAGTACTTTCACTGTGAAGAAAAATGTTTCAGTACACATACAAGTGCTGACGCAAAAGGATGCTTGGTACAGGTATCAACTAGCGGAAAACTTGATCAATGTCCTTGGCGACATTTTCTCCCCTCTCTCAACCGCGGCAAGCAAGACCTTCACCTACACACCTTACCTGCCCCTGTCGGCGCAAAAACAGCCGGTCCACGATTGATAGAATCTGCTGCTCTCAACACCTGCCCGTGCGCCCATTTTTTTCTGGCATCCACACCAAGACGCCTGTGCCCTCGCTATTTTCGATGTCTACGGCTAGAAGAAAGTGCATTATACCTGAGTTAATGCTCTGCACGCGGCATTTAGCTCTCCTGAGAGTGCATCTTGAGGTCCCGTTTCGACGGCAAGCGCGACCAACCGATAAAAAAGCAGCCTAGACTACATACTTGCACCTTGGCTACGATGTACGAGTTCTCTGTGTGCTGTGCGCTGTGTACAAATGTCTGTAGTCTGGCATTGGGGGGCGAAAATGAGAACACATCATTACGTCAAAGCTCGTGGAAGAGCACCCAGCTTGTTGCTACCCTTTCTTGGCAGGGTGCTACGTTCTGCCCAACAGCTGGTGAAGAGAGCACACCCCGATGCAAGCAGGAGAATCGCGCAGACTCTTTAGAGTAGAACTCACTTGCATGCCACTTGCAGCGTAGAATAAGCTTTCGTCTCCTTCTTCCTCCGAGGTTTTCCCTTTTCGGGGCGTGCTAGAATATCCGCCCATCTCCTCTTTGCCCCACACCACACACCGGGAACCTCTGACCGCTCGCGCGTCCCTTCTCCTTCTCCCGTAACCAGAATGCAGTGCGGTCGGGTGGCGCTGTGCCTCCGTTCGGCAGGCCACTTTTGGGGGGGGGGTCCGTGAATGTTGGGTGCAACCGTGTGCCCCCCCCCGGCGCTCGGACATGCCGGACATTTTGGGACACACAAACAATCGCATGTGTACGTACATGCCCCCGATATGTGCATAAATCCTTTTCTTGGTGACGACGGAAATTCGTGCCTGAAGGCTATTCAACGTGAGGACATCTATGACAACGACACCGCCCATGACCAACCATTTTTCAACGTGCACAGTGCAAATGAATTTGAAATTCGACACCCTTTTTCTGGTCGATCGATCGAGCGATGATATAATGATGATGAGCGCGATCATCGCCGTTCTTTTCAAATATCACGATGTACGAAGGCACGAAGAAAGCATTAAAGGCTACGCTGAATACAGACCATTTGCTTTAGGATCACATGCAGTGGAATTAAACAATTTAAATGTATCCAAGAATAGAAGAAGTGAGGAGTGCAAGTAAGTATCTTCTGGCCCACATTTATTTTTATTATTCAAGAACCTTTTTTTCTCAGCCCGCCCCTCCTGCACCATTTCTGTGGATAGGATAGTTTATCGACCTTGCGTTCACAGCAGCATCGTTTTTTTCAAATGGCAAACCATGTCCAGTTCGTTGTTTGTTTCTTTGAATGGCGCGACGGTGCTAACCGGCTGGCTAATGAGAAGAAGCAAATAGCAACGCTATAAGCTGTAGCTCCGTGTGGGTAGAGGAGAGAGGCCAAGATAAATTAACGAAACAAACTAATCGCGGACAAGTGACGTTGATAGAAGAGCCATAAAGACATCTAGTATTATTGTATGTCAAGACGTGTGTTCCCTGCAAAGGTCCGGAAAATAATTGGTTGGGAAGGTACGATTATCATTATTCCAATCCAAGCCCGCGGCAAATTTACGACACAAAATGCGACCCACGGGGGCGCAGAGATACAGAGAGATACAGAGAGGGAGAGGTAATCACCCGACTTCGATGAGACATTTCTCAATCCACAACTTTCGAATCTATCCGTCTGTGCGCGTCTCACCAAGAACAAACCTGCCTGCCAGGGGCTTGCACTATGACACCGTCTGTAAAACAGGCGTAGATCAGATTACTACAGCTACTGCTTGTGACTAGAAATCGGACTTTGGAAAAGGAGGTTGATCTTCCTGTTATCCGGCCAGGTGTGTGAGTGACTAGGAGACGGCCATGGTTCGCATGCGGGGATGAAGCGATACCCGGGATACAAATATACATGCGTGGCCTGCACCACGCATACGCCCAAGTTAGTCTTAACGGTGAGCAAAATTGTGCTGCAGACCGCGTGTGCCTAGCTTCTCCATTCGCACAGTAATTCCGAGGTGCCACATGCATGGACAAAGAAACCCAGAACGTATACTCTCCAAGCGCATCCGGCCTAGCATGTGTCCGAGTTTCTGTTTCGTACATACCACCAGCGATGTCACAGTCTCATTGCGTTGATCTTGACGCATCATAAGCACCCCCGACCCTATATTATCATCATGCAAGAGGCTGGTAACACTGGGTTGTGTGGTCAAGGCTCAATCATGAAACAAACGTAAGCGCAGCTGAACACAGGCCGCATCCCTCGCACGGCATACATCCACAAGAAACACCAAGGGAACCCTACGATTGTACACTCTACAGCAGTAGATCATGGCCAGTCAGACGGTGAGATCTTCACCCCGGTCCTTGCCCACTGCCGGCCGTGGGGCACCCGGGCCATCGCAGCGTACGGTCCTCCCATAGCTTCCAACATGTCTCGCCACATGTCTTCGCCCCCAGCCAAGGCGAAACTTGCCGGTGCCTGCGGGTACGTCGTTCGAAGTGGGGTGCATAGTGGCGCCATGTTGGAGCAGGGAAGAGAGGAGGAAGTGCATGCAACCAGCTAATTGTGCTTTCCAAAGTGCCCCGCTGTCGCTGTGTTCTCACCCAAAAACTCAACACATGCAGCACATAACATGGAGAAAAATGTAATGTTTTCATAACACGGGACACAGGCAGGCGATCGTGCCGAACAACACGCAAAATGAGCGACATGTACTGCTGTTGCACAACTGTTCAGCCGAGAACAGCGAGGCTGTACAGCCCCACGCACAAAACGCATGACAGCAGCGATCTGTAGGTAGCACAATAGGTTGCGAAGAGAGCACAATACCGGGCTTGGGACTGCCTAGAGTATCTGTTGCGCGTTCTTCATGGATCCACGTTCCGAGAGAAGGTACAATACCTTCGCCATGATCCATAAGCCGTGGTTCAATTCGCCTTGCAGTTGACCAGCCTGAGTAACAAGGCCAAGAGGAACAAGAGCGGGGGAGTCAAAACACGTTGACACACAACGATTAGCAGCATGGAAGTGCGGCTTCACTGCGTGATTACGCCACCGAGCTCGGAAAAAGTACTACCTCATTCTGCGTTATATGCACTGAGTGGATAGACGATATTTGGTGCTCCTGCACATGTCTGCAGGACCAACAGTACTCTTCGACGTCGCATAGTACCCAGCAATCTCGTCAACGAGGTATGACAGCTCTCAGAATCAACAGCATGCAACAAGTCTACGACACGTCAGGCCGTGTCTTTCGCCGAAATTTGATGAAAGTGGAGTGGAAGCTGGGATGGGGAGAGAGAGGCACGCCATGCTGTGGGGAAGAGGCCGCTCTACGTGATATCGTGATAAAATGGGAATCAGAGGCACGACAACTCAAAGGCACATCGCTCCACAAACATCAAGCACAGAAGATACAGAATCAGTGGCAAGGGTACGAGAGCGGACTTTTCCAGGGGCGCCTGCAGGAGTCGTGTTTGTTCCGCACATTGTACACCATTTTCGGTATATCTACCATTCCCGCAAAATCGGCTCACATCCCATGCTGATGCGCCTACCACCAGGGAGAAATCAGCCGGTTTAGCGGCGCCCTTGGTCAATAGCTCGGCCGCTTTCTCCATCTTCCCGCAGAAGAACACCTGAGCACCGAACCAAGAGAGTCACCGCACACGCTTCAGTTTTGACCAAAGAAGTGACACGTTCACGTGGAATATCGTCGCAGCTACTGTACTGAAAACGAACACACGACTGCGAAGCGACTGTCGCACGCAAACAAATAAGTCAAACGAACCGGAAACAAGGGAAACAACGGACGGGCATCACACGTGCAACCACATGCTGCGTACCCTGAAGAAACTGAAGCAATGACGAAACGGCGCGCCGCCGGCACGCACTGGTCTACTGTACAACATGAAAACAAGTTCATATTCGCTGACAATAAGTAACTTTCCTTCATGAAAAGCGCGACGCTTCTGTCGCAATTTCGTCCAATCTCTCCAACACATCCAACCAGTCCAATCATCTCTGGGTGAGAAACAACCAAGGTCAGCGACGAAGCGCCCGACAATGAATCACGACGGTGCCAACAACGATCGAACGACCGGCTGAGCGGCAACCGCCCAACACCCTCCTTCACAACTTGCTGAAGCTACACTACTATGCATGTCATCCCTCGAGAATTTCCTTACCGGTTTCTCGGCGCCCTCGGCCAACGGAACCCCCCCGACCTCCTTGTGAGGGTGCAGCCAAGCCAGGCGCGACATGACGGGGCCCCCAACCCTGACGGGATTTTTCAGCACTTGCTGCAGTGCATCAGATGCCAACGGGAGCGCGTCCTCGCACAAGGCTTCTTCCAATGTCTCGCCCTTGTCCTTGTTCACGACAAGCCCGTACGATCCCAACGGCGAGTGGTCGACCAGCAGTACCACCGAGCGATGAAACATCTCCTCGGGCGCGTAAAGAAACGACAGTGGGTGTGAGATCAGGTAGACGCCCTTGGCTGGCGTTCCTGTGGGCTCCACCACATCCCCCGGCCGCGCTAAACTGTTCCGGGTGTCCAGCTCGAAACCCCTCCCTGGTGACAATGGCGACGTTGATCGGGTATTCCGCTCCCCTGCCGCCCTGGCACGTCGCTCCTGGTGCCGCAGTACCCGCAGTGCTCTCTTTGTGGTCTTGAGGCAGCAACACCGAGGCGTCGATCCGGTCCGATGGATGGAAACATGGCCGTACATGCACGGGGCGGAAAACCGTGAGAGAGCGTTTTGGCACAAGCATTTCCATCTGCTTGCACAGAGCGTTGGAAGCAGAAAATTGGAACCTCGGGCACTCTAAATTCCCAAAGACACACGGGAAGTGACTACATACACAAGCCTACCGTGTTCCTGGGTCCGGCCACCTTTCCCTTTCTTCTTCGCCGTTTGACGCAAGACGTTTGCCCGTTGTTCTCCAGGTACTCGGTAAGCCCTAGGGATTCCGCCAATGCCCACTTCGAAGACAGCTCTCGGATGGCTGCAAAGCCTGCAGCGCACGAACACCAAAAGAGTCATGCTCTAACTTGACCGGCGGTCATTACGTGCAACCCATCTTTCCCAAGTACATTCTTTCCACACACGAGTCAGTCCATCATGAGGTACCAGAACGACCCACCTACAACAGGCATGAACGTGCTGGTGCAGCTTACGTCCGCAGCGAGGAGCAAGGGCAACAAAAAAAATAACCTGCGATCCTACGCGAGGCGAGCCTTCGGCGAAACGGGAAATTTCAAGCAGAAAAAGTGAGAAACACCAGCAAACATGTGCATGACCCCTCAGCCCCAACCCCTGGTACGAGGTAAACGTATGTATGTCACCTGCGCCAACCTTGTCCGCTCCGTCGACGCCCTTCAAAGCCCCCGGGAAGAATATTTCGAGTGAAATGGCTACCATCGCGTCTTGCTCCCAAACTGTTCTATCTTCCAGCGGCACGCCCTCGGCCTCCTTGGCTTCATTCTCCGCGGCCCTATCTGCAACTACCTCGAGGTTGTTCTGGTCGGCCATGCGGATCGTGCGAATTAGCCTCTGCAGAGACCATGCTAGCCGCTCAGGCCTACGGAGCGGATCGTGCAAGAGCAAAAGGTTGCAACGGCCGTACCGTAGTAAAGCGCGCGGTGAGTAGTGCCACGGTCAATGCGAACATCTGACACACTTTTATTTTTCCTTGTATTGGGATTGCTTGCGTCCGTCAAAGCAAGCAGCGTTGTGTTTGTTTCGATACGGCGGTGCAACAAATTCGAAAAGCCCCACCTGACATGGCAGTGGCTGCCCACAACCACCTCCAAGGCAGCCGCATATAGACGCCGATCTCCCCCGATAGCGTCCGACTCGGTCAACGGTGGTCGGACGATACCATGCCGCTGTATGAGGGCCTGGAGAGCAGTATCGCGAAAAATCAAGGATTCGGCGTACAGTATTAGAGGGGGGAACATCACCTTCACAACCCGCGTCGCATCCCACCCGTTGCCCACCAAGTAAATCTGCACGGCGACTCCCTCGACAATGCAGCAGTCATAACTAGCGTGGTCACTTGAGCCTGTTGTTGCCCGCGCTCGTCAACTTGTCAGAGGTAAGGCTAGTTGCCAACAGCGATGTAGCGTTTGGTGTACGAAGTGTATACACACAGCAAGAACTACCTTTTGGGGGGCACGTGGATGTTCCCGACCAACGTGTAGAGTTAGCAAAATTAGAAAATTAGCAGTGCTCTTCTGCTGCAAATATACCCCAATGATGCACGTTATGGAGAAGCACGCGCAATCACAAACAGATGAGCAATGTGCGAGAAGCTTCCTTCAAACAGATTTGAGGCGCAAAGCATCCGGCGTGTGTGGAGATAGCAAATAAACAGCAGCTTGCAGAGGTGATACACTATGTAAAGCAGTAGTCCTCCTCTTATACTACATAGCTTTGCTCACCTCTTATACTACATAGCTTTGCTCACCTTGGCTGCTATGTTCTTGTCGAACAGCCGCGCTTTACGCAGCACTGCTCGGTAAACCGCCTTTTCGACGAGACCCATTATGTATGCCCGAAATACAAGTTTGGCGCGTGGGTGTGGGGGTGGGTGCTGGAGGCAGCGGCAGCGGCAGCGGCAGTTAGGAGGCTTGGGTGGGCTGAGCCTGGTTGTGGTACGATCCGATACCATCCAGCGACCCCCCCCTTTTGCACTTGTTGCACTCACTTCAAGGAGAGGCCAGGCGAGACCAGAGGTCACCCTATAGACACGGCGAGAGCGAGAGAGCGCCAAACTAGGAGAGCCTGGGAGAGGCAGGGAGAAAGCCACCATGAAGTACTACTGCGCGCTCTGGCTTCTCTTTTGTGTCCCATTGAGTAGTCCATTGTCCACGGGACCAGCAGCAACATCACGCACCCGATCTGATCGTCGTGCCCAAAAGACACCCACTACTACCAGCGGTGCTGTGCGCAGCGCCGGCCAAACCAAGCGACGTACACGAAGCGATGACATGGACGAGGTCACTGCTCAAAGGGTGAGTAACCTTGATCTCATATCTATCTTGCTGTACGCTGCATTGTGCGTGTGCGAAAACTCAACCTCGGTAGCGTACGTACGTACGTGTGCGTACGTGTTGGTCGGGCTGATGTTGCTCAATTGGTCTTGCTGGCCCACTGCCCCCTGCCCCCCACGCCCCCACGCGGGAGACGCATTCAAGCATTCAAACATTCGCACGATTCCTAGAGCGCATTTGACGTCTCCACGTGCCCTTTCGACGTGCAGGTTTTGCAATGAGTGCGACTTTTCGAAGACCTGATGGGAAATTACGAAATTACTGCTCAAGGTTCAGACGTGTTCCACGAGACAGATGACGTAATCGACTGGCGCGTCCACTAATTCATTTTCTTGTTTTGCGCTTGGGTTTTGCTACACTCTCTGTGAGTGTCGCCTATGCCGATAGATAGAGTTCTGGGCTGGCAAAATACCATGTGCCATTTTGTGTTTTGCTCTATTGTTTTTCTTCCCAGAAGAAGTCGCTGCTTGTGTGCTCTTCGAATCGGAACTGCTGCGAGTATGCTACGTCGATCCAAGTCACATAAAGATGCTGATATAATTTTGAATACAAAGCACGAGCACCAGAATATGAACAACAGACACACAAGACCAGTCGGAAGGCACAGCAAAAGACAGAAATCGTTGATTCTCGCACTGGCGGCAGTAGAGGCTGCTCAAAGCATACATTTCACGGGTCTATCCCCACACGCCTCCTTTTGAAATCAAGAAAAAAAATCACCTCTAGTCTAAACTCAAGTCAAAGGGCCAAATTCACCCTAGTCTAAATTCAAGTCAAAGCCAAAACGGCAGGCGCTCAAATAAGGTCGGTGTCGCCAGGAACCTGGTGCATAGTACACTATTTAGAGGACACTATAGCAGCGGGGGGGGTATGTTGGCGCGCTCAAATCTGCTTCTGTGTGCGGTGATACCGGGTCGTAGTATGTAGTGGCCTACCATCTCCGCAAATCTCCGCAAATTAGACGTACACCCAGCGTCTTGCACTGCTTGTGGATTCCGCCACTGACCCCAATCTGCTGAACTGCGGGTTTACAGCAGTAGCTGATGCCACTAGCTACTGCTGACAACCCTCCGTTCAGGGTTTACGGTCCGTGGCGGTGAGCATGGCTGTAAGAAATGGAGTCCGGTTGGTTCCGGCGCAGATTTCCGACTGTTTTAAGAGGCTGCTCCGACCTTCGATATTTCAGCTCCAGTAGCAAACCTGAACGTGCCAGCACGCACTTCGCCTCTTCATGGTGTCCTCTACTGATATTAGTCCTAATTCCCAGGTTCCTCCTGCGCGAAGGTTGTTTTCTTTGTCTCTAATGGATTTAAGCATAAGAAAAGAGCCAGCGTGAAAGCACTTGTCTGCAACCCCTTAAGGGGTTGACGTCACGTCCAAACTACTACACCCGTTCTTACTGCTGTAGATTAGGCCGCTCTCAAATATGCCTCTCTTCAGTAATGCTATTGTTTTCTGTTAAGGTGTACTTCGAAAGCAGGCACGTTTCTTCGTTTTTTCGCGGGCGCAAGACTTCGCCCAAAATATGTGTGAAAAAATAATTCCAATATTGTAGTCTAAACTACCGATGATGATACGCGCACAGACTTGCTGTGTTGTATCATATGCGTAGCAACAGGCGAGTCTTCGATACCTCGCGCTGTCTCTTTGGGTTCGTTGGTTCATACGGTATGATTTGCATGTTCCAAGAACGAAAACATAGCAATGACCACACCCTTTGGAATCCAACGTTCGTCCTACGTCCTACGTCTTGCACGAACTTCCCGCTTGTCGCTAAGATGCAAACGTTGAAGCGCCTTCTTCCTGGGCTCGAGGCAGGCCAGCTCGTATCGCGGGCTCCTGCCCTTCTTGGAAGTACCCAGTTGGAAGAGATCGTGCCGCGGCGGATGGCGGCCATGTCGAGCCTACTCCCGGGTGTGGATGTCCTGAGGTGAGCCTTGTCATCGGCTGCGGTCATCACAAGACATCCCCGGCGGTACGGTAAGTTTATGCCATGTAAGGGACCACAATCGCGGGACAGGTGTTCGCAGGTCGATTGTCCACAATAGGGAGGGTGGCAATACCGACCGACACGTCTTTGCAAAGTTGTCGATGATGCCTTTCCAATGCCGCACTTTTTGGCGTTGACTCTCCTCGTGCTTGAAGGTATCGAGCTTTGAGAATCGGTCCAGGGTGTGTGGTATCTCATGTGGTATTGTACACTACACGGTGATACATACGGTATGCTGTTCCGTGCTACTTATTGTGACCTTCGCACCAGACCAGGGGACACAAAATGATGCCATAGGAAGATCATGTTGATAGCCTTGCATCCTGTGTGAACGTCTACATTAGTAAGTATTGTTGAATCGACCTTGTCGGTGAAGGGCGTTGATGAAGTAAAACAACGGGTAAACTTTCAGTGAATTACCTCTCACAGAGACTACATTCCGAGACCTTAACCGCACTCTTCCTGAGCTGTGTAGGTGACCTTACATTTTCAAAAATCGTTCTTATTCTCATCTCCGCAACGCCCGTCGAGGACCATTCCAGTACGGGCCATAGAAACAGCAGTGTTGCAAGCTCCCGGCAATATTTACGTGCTATTCTGAGCGGTTGGCAACTCGCCACTCAAGTGCACAGTAGGGCTTCCTCCATTTGACGGTTGGTTTTCCGGGAATTCAACGCGAACGTCTAGCTTGCTTGCTTGTGGTACTCAATGAGCCTCAAATCGCGATTTCATTTGGGCAGGTGTCATGCTTTCCTTCTTAAGAAATACATAAAATCAGTCCCGCATTTGATGTAGTCATGTAACGATGTATGCGTCTTCTTTGAGGGTACGGCGTCTCTGGTGGCACGAAGCAGCAGGCGATGGTCCGACGCCGCGCTTGCAATCTCCAAGCTCTTAAGCAACGCGTGCGCATCGTGTACTTTAGTCTTTACACTTTCTCCCCGCCCCCCCCCCCGCCTCCCCCCGGCGCATCGTGAACGTCCTGGTGCCGCACCGTGCACATGACCATGATACCTGCAAACTACGCCAGGCTGGTGAGACATAGCCCGGCCCTGCTGCTGTACCACGAGGACACCCTGGCGCCGAGAATAGAGTTCATCAAACGACTTTTCCCAGAGAGTCCCAGGCTTCTCAGCAGGGCACCACTCCTGCTGACCCACGATCCGGAGACGTTCCTAATGCCCAAGATTCATCAGCTCGAATCCCTTTTGCCGGGGATAGATGTTCTGAAAGTTGTCAGGTGGATTGGCTCGTGTACAGCAGTGCTTTTTGTTGCCGCATGCACGTTCTGTTTGGGAGTGCTTCGTCACAGTAAGGGTTGGGTGGTGGGTTTGGAGGGTGCTTTGTCGTGCCATTGGAGTGCGAGAGCGGCCCAACTAACAGCTTCGTCAATCAGCAGCCAGGAGGCACCACGACACGACAAGCGCGCATGGCGCCCTGGTTGTTGGTGGCGGTGCTATTGATGGAAGACATCTTTGTTGGACAGCCCAAATAGCTGGCATAATAGGATGCCATTACGATAGAAAAGCTGTACATTGCTTCCCGGCGGCATACCCTTTTCCTCCCTCCGTACACCCATCCCATTGCCCGAAGCATTGTGATTGTCGCATACTCACAATCAGGCTTGCCCTCTTGTCATTTCCGCCCTCGCTTTGAACGTCGAAATTTTGGTTGCCAGGACTGAGCCGACGATTCTGTACTTGGACATTGGAGGCTTGGTAAAACGACGATTAGAAAGCCTGTCCGAGCTGTTGCCGGGGCATGATGTTAGTGTCTTGGTGCGGAAAGTTCCGCGTCTTCTGACCACTAACGTCTCAAGCCTGGCGCAGAAGGTGCGTTCGCTTCTTGGTGACGGTGACAAGACCGTGACCATGATAGCAGTCGTCACCCGTTGACGGCCCTGCGCTGATAGGACCGTGCTCGCTCGAATGAAGCACTGTATCTCGAGTTGAACAGGAGCTTGTAACACAACCTGGAATTGACATGGCGTTTGTTTGAGAAGATGCACTGAAGGGGTCCAGTCGACCTTGCCGCAAGCAAAGAAACCAATCCCAACTTACGTCATGTGGCCCAGTTCGACCTGCTTGCGTGCCGGTTAGGTTTGGTTTGGTCGTGCGGTTGAAATAGCAAAGGTGTGGTGCCACAGCAGAGAGTTCGTCTTCGCCTCGTGCGCTTCGTGCTTCTTTTGTTTCCAGCCGCGTCTTTGTCGTGCTATTTTGTCTCATTTTTTTCCTGTTGCTCCTCCGGCTGCATTTGTATGGCGTTTCCTCGCATTCCGTTTCAGATGTCTAGCTTGAGGTGGCTTTTGGGACCCGACGCTGACCTGCACCGGGTGAGGACGGCATTTTTTAATTTTTTCATATGAAACCTTTCAAAGGCTTGCCTGCACATGTCAGCGATAGAGGGGATGGGGGGAGGGCGAGGAAGGACGGCGCGTCAGGCATAATTCTGTCGCTGTGTCGATTGTATGTGGTGCTTACGCCTACCACCTGTGCTTGTATGACGATACCGCTGTCTGCACTGTAACCGCCGTAGGTCTGCAACCATGTCCGCAGTAGCCTTGGGGTGCGATGCCATTGGCGTTCGATAGGGCCTGCGCGGGCGGTGCTCATGGGCCAATGTAGTGGGCAATAGCGAGAAAACCCAGCACTCTTTACACCGACATTACACTTGTAGTTTTATCTGGGGGCGTCCTTCGCACGTGGGTCGTTGCCATGGGACATTTTTTGGCGACATTCAAGAATCAAGTGTGGGTGCGTTCGAGTTGCTGAGCCTACGGTAACGCCTCTTTTCCGTTGTTTTCCTTCCGTCCGTTGTTGTGCATACTATTGTCGATGACGATGGTGATGACGACGCCAGATCATCCACCGTAGACCTGCTCTGCTCGTTTCCAAGATTGAGACAACTGTGGCCGCTAAGTTTCAGCAGCTGCAAGACCTTTTCCCCGACGCTAACGTGGTGTCAATGGTGGAGAGCGACGCCACCGTTCTACTGTACGACTACACAAGCGTCGGTGTGAAGGTAAGTTTTCCAGACGTGATGACCGTGTGTCGTCCCATTGAAAACGCCGCTGCCTGCGATCCGAAAGGGTCCTTTCGTCGTTACGCAAAGGCGTGTGCGCATCCTGAAAAACATTCACGACGTAGACGAAACCATTGCTTGTAGCTTTCAGATTCATGCTTTGTTCGAGAGAAGTTCTAAAGCAATGGTTTCGTGGTACTGCTGTAGTACTTTGCGAGCAGTGGAGGCTGCAATCTCCGATGCGTTTCCCCCAATCTACTCTGTGTTCTCTCTACCCCCCGTCCCAAAATAAAACTCACCAACAAGCTGGAAGCACTTTTGAGTTAGTCAAAAGGGGGGTACTTATAGTCGTGCATGCCGTAGTCGTTAGACCATTGACCTTGCATCCCTACAAAGCCGGGACAGAGCACGCCGGGTTCTCACCGGACCAGGCTCTCATATCACCAAGCGCGAAGCGCCGTGAGGTATTCGGCGAGTCGCATGAAGGGTGCGCTGCGTCCTGCTAAGGGTGTTCGGCATCTTGTGCTTACTTTCTTCCGTACGGATGACAGCTGCGTATGACTTAATTTATTTTCTGGTGCTTTCACTTCCAGAGACAGGTATAAGCACTGTGTACCTGCCTCAAGGATGCTTGACCAATTTAACACAACGTGGTGCGATCATCCCCCTTGCGCGTAGTGAGGGTTCTCCACCCCGCACAACATGATCTACTCGACCACCATTATGGTTACCGCCAAAAAAAAACAGAGGTAGAAAAAAAAACCCGGTAACCTGGTTGCCGAGTTCACGAAGTGAATTGGCTTGTTTTACAACGTCGTTGCCAAGCGACGAAAACCCAATCCCGATGGCAAACACCGAGGGGGGGCTTGTTTTACAACGTCGCTGCCACGCGACGAAAACCCAACCCCGATGGCAAACACCGGGGGGGGCGAGTTAGTCGAGGGGAGGTATCATTTTGGAGCTGGCCCCCCACACCTTCTTTTTTCTTCGTTTCCCCGGGGGATCCACTTAAGCCCAAAATAGTCATGTTTCTGGCTCCTTCTAGTCACAGAATATTCGTGGAACAGTGAAAGAGCCCGCGCGTCTGGCACGTATCGACCCCAACACTGCTGTTGAGACCGAACACTCTTTGCCTTCGTCGGAATGCTACTGAATTCGTTGTAAGACCACTGGATCGTTGCAATCTGTTGTTGTTGATGTTTTGTCGCGTTGAAGAGCAGGTTTGCATACAATAGCAGCTTCTTCAACTTATGCGAAGAGGTCGACAGGCAGACAGTGTGTGACAAACGAAACTGATACCGTACCGTACCGCACTGCATTACCTTACTTTGCACCCACCTACCTCCTCGGGGTGTTAACTTCAGCAAAGTGAACTTTCCCTCCACCCGGGATCCCTAACTCGGTGGAGATTACGGTATTCAGTAAGCGCCAAGCTAATGTCAGGTGCCCAAGGCTTTCGCTTTGACTGCACGCAGTACTATGTACATGCTGTCCACCAGCTGCCATGCTGTGACTGGAACTCTGTCCGGTGTTGTTTTGCTGTCGCACGATGCTGACTGTTGGCCGTTATTCCGATGGATGGATGGATGGATCAGGTGGACTGCTGGCGAGAACGCGTCTCCAACGCAACGGAGCTCAACCAGCTGATACAAGACTACCCCTTGCTGCTGTCGTATAGCCTCGATACCTCCGTGTCCCGCCTGGACTTCCTTATAGAGGTATCGATCGATCTATGCCGTTGGTGTACCGCTGTGGACGATACACACGCGATGCCCAATCCTTCAACTGCCGTATGGTTTCGTCTGCAGGATCTGGTCGACATCTTGCTGTGTTAGTAGTCTTCATTTCTTCTGGACCCTGTTGGGTGTGTCTTGTGGTTGATGGCTGATGGTTGATGCGAGTGTCAACTCTTGTTTTGCATTTGCTGTCTTCGCGTCTTTAGATGCCATCAGGTACTACGGTGTTTGGGCGCAACTCTTTGCTGTTTCAGCTGTCCCGACGGCCTTGGGTGTAAGAGGCGCGTTTGTGATGGTGGATGCAATGCGCCTGCCAGATCAACTTTCCATTCGCCGCGCCCCATGGCTCTTGACCAACTGTCTGTACGGCTAAGCCACCCGAAACTAGGGGATGATGCGATGATTCTTGCTCTGTCTGTTCTAATGCCGTGCTGTCCGGTGCAGACGACCGGAGTGAAGCCTCGCCCTGCAACAATGCGGACCACGGTCCGAATGGCCAAGAGGGATTGGCTGGCTGTTCATGGCGCCAAGTACAGGTAACCGGCATTACTCTGCCGCATCAATGCACCGCATGGCACGGTGTCAATGTACCGCCGCCCGTCCACGTACATACATGACGAGGACGGATCCCTCGTGTCTGGGCAAGTGCTTTTCGACGTTTGTCGAAGATTTTTCGAACACTCTACAGACGCGACAGGTCGCTGGCATGGTTACTCCTTGGTATTCTGTAGAACTTCGTTTTTTCTATTTGGAGTGTCGATGCAAGAAGGCGTACCCTGCCGGGCGATGATGTGCTTGCTTCCCGTAGACAACGGCACAACTGAAACCGAGGACCATCGGCAGGATTGAATAGAGTAAGTTGCAGACACGAAATGGGCTAGCTGATTCGAAAGCTAGATTTTTCGTCACACGCCTTGTCCCCACAACTATCTCCTGATGCGTACTACAAGCAGAAAGTTTTTGGAGCGCAAGGTGGAAGGGCCGTCGGTACTTCGACTGTGGCCCGGGCTGTACTTCGACAGTGACACGGGAAGCGGCAACGGGTCTGGCGGAAGACTCCTGAAAGGGGAAGGCATGTCGGCAAAGCTACAGGTCTGTTGCGTTGCGACCGAATGGGTGGAACTTCGACGGCCTTTGCATCCGGATCACCTCTTTGGTGTACATACGCCCACCTTCGCACGTTTCGACTGCATCTGCGGCCAGTTGTTTCGAAACAACAGCAGTGGTTTGGTCAAGCTTTTGCGATGCGTTTTCATGGCTGTGACTAATACGACTCTTACATGGTCTGCGAACCCTTTGCAACGAATATGTCATACAATCACTCATGACACATGAGCATTCTATTGTGGATGCCCCGTTGATTATTCCGGTGTCTTGTTGGTGGAATCGCCCACGAGATGGTGTCGCCGTACAGCGGGCTGTTGGGTATTTGTCGAGGTGATCAGGGCGGCCTCACTCGAAACCAGCAGCACGTATGTCTCTCTTTTTCTTGTCTGTGCTGATCTTTCTTCTAACCAAGATAGCTAAATACAGGGGCGTGCTGTGCGTTTGCTTGTACTCGATAGGATGACGGGTCCGTGGAGGTCTCGAGCGCCGCAGAGATGAAGGAGGCAAGCGCCTACATTAAGTCCCTGGAACGAAAGTACGGGAAGATCATCAAGGTATATCCATGACAGCAGGATGAGGGAAGGCATTGTCTAGACTGGCTGGTGGCACGTCCCGAAGTAGTTCTTGGTATAGAGTCTTTTAGTATGAAATGGTTGCATGATGCCCGACGATGATGGGAAGCTGTACTACGTCGGCCACGCTTCCACCACGTCAAAGCAGTTTAGCGTACCCGCCGCTGGCGCTCTTTTGCGATCATATGTTGATACGCCTCTCTGTCGTGGTTGTCGGTAATTGATTCCTGTCGAGCCTGCTCTGATTTCGAGTTATCTTTGTTTTAACGCAGGAAACCCAACTTCGGTTCACTCCGGCCGTCAGACGAGGGAAGTTAGGCGATAATCCGTCGGAGGTGGATATGATCCTCTACGACATCAAGTCCTTCGATCAGCAGGTGGAGAATGCAGAGGGCGCCCTTCGACACAGAATATCGACTCCTAACTTGGAGGCACTTCCATCTAAAGAGTTGTTGATGGACGTCGTTGGCTATGCTGAGGCTCCAAGGGCCGATGACCCTCTGCAATTTCGGGATGCATGTTGCCGTAAGCCTGACACCATGCCTGATATCTTGGGGCTGGTGGTAGTCACGGGGTATTCCACAAGCACAACAACCTTAGAATCCTTGACCCTACTTCCGACAACGTGTTTGACACCTCGATCAAGACAACCAAGGGTTGCCTCCTGTAGCGTTGTCAGCCTTTCACCCCAGTAAGCTCGGCGAGCATTACTTACCAAGCAACGGGTTTTCTACCAGGGCTGTGTCGCTGGTCTCGCACGCCGTTTGTAGCTGCCATCCGGCTCAAACCGATCCAACCCTCGCGACAAACGCTTGTATCAACGTTCAGGTTCGCAAGCTAGCGACGGGGTATCGCCTCAAGAGATTCAAGGAGCTACTACCAGGACTTGACACGGAAACGCTCTTCACCGAGTACCCGAACGTCCTGCTCATGGACCTTAAGAAGGTCAGGTCTATTTCATGGTTGTGTGTGTAACGTTTGAGCTGGCGGTCACCGTGATAACAATCTGTATTACGGGAGCGGCGGAGATTTACTTGCAGCTTGCTGCTAGAAGCTCCGGCAAGTTTCTACTGTCCCATTTCCCGTGTTGAACCACTTGCAACGTTTGACAAGTCCATGCCCTCGTTGAGGATTTCTGCCGCTCAACTTGGTGTGCATTTGTTAGCATGGTCCTCTCATACGCATGGCACCAAGCAAGGGTTGAAGTTGGGCTTCATACCGCACCATGCCTCTTTGAAGCCTCGGGCCACCGAACACCTGGCTGATGGCGTGATCTCTTGTCCTGTGCGTGGTGAATGTGTGCTTCCTCGTCAAACTTAGAAATTGTTTTTGTGAAAGTTTAGTATGATACGTGGTAGAAGGAAACAGATGTGACACGATCATGGTCTGCGGGTAGCAACATAACGGATGGTTTACTGTCGAAGAAGGTGCTGTTAGTCTCATCGTGACAAAACGATGCTGCTGTGATGGCATGCTATTTGGTTCCCAGGTGGAGGACAAGGTCGAGGAACTGCGCGAATTGCTGCCAGGGGAACGCGTCGCTGGTGTGGTGTCCGTTGCCCCCGATCTTCTTCTCAATGATGTGCAGACCTGCTTGCGACCTCGCATGACCCGACTTGTGGCGGCGCTTACCACGGTGAAACAGTTCCAAGGCGTGCTAGATGCCGATAAGGTGATTTTTTGTGTCGGACTCTGAACATGGCATGGCTGTGGGTGTAGGCGACGGCCATGTTGCTCAGCACTCGGCGTTATGTCTTGTGTCTGGGGTCTTGAGCGTGGGGCAAGGTGATACGCTAGAGGTGATCCCGCACGCTCATCGTGGTGTAGTTGGTATAACTCAGCACTACTGCACACGGTTGTTGACTAAAAGAAGCGCCGAGGGATCCCGTCTGTCATCACCCTTGCTCTCTGTAAGTTCTGTTACCGGCGAACGTACATCCTCAAGAAAAGCTTGCAACTTCTCCATGTATAACGCACGCTCTTCCTGCCATGTGCTACGGGCAACTGCTTTGTCGCAGGTGAGGGCTATGGTGGTGACCTGCCCGCAGCTGCTTCTCAGCGACGTCCGGAATGTCGTGGTACCATCCCTGCAGTATATGCTGCAAAGCACCTCCGACCATGACGAGCTTGCGACGAGGCTGTTCAGGGACCCAAGCCTCCTCGTTGTTGGGGTTGGTCCATTAGCGCGCCTACAGTACACCCTGGAGCAACACCGACACGGTACCGCCTCCATCGCCATGGGAAACCTTGGCGCCTACGTCGGTCCAGAGGCTGCCTTAACAGCAAGCCACCATCCGACTCCATGGGTCGGCTCTGGCAGCGGGAAGGCTGCTACCGGAGGAACGAAGCGCACGAGAAGCCCTAGCAAGAAGAACGATGCGTCGTCGGATGTGTATCTGAGAGAGGACCAGTCACGGCTGCTGCCGCCAGTCATTGTGCCTCAGGTTGGTCATACAAGAAAGTGCTGCTGCGGTAGGGGTGCGTCCGGCTGGACGTTATTTTGGGTTCAACGAAAGTTTGTTTCTGCGTGTCCTGTTTTCTGTGTAGATGGGCCCTGGGTGCTATCGTGAACGTTTCTGCGAGATTCGCTTCCTTCGCAACGTTCAACCTGGTGGATGATGGGCGAATCTTAAACAGGCGACGGGGTCTTGCCCTCTGTGTTCCGTTTCTGCCTCACTGCTTCCCCTCTCGTCGTCTGTTTTGCTTTGCGATACGGGACAGGCCACTCTATCAAATTCCTGTTGTCACAGCACAAATGGAAAGGGTACACACTCTCCCACGCCAAGTACTTGATTGGTTGTTACACACCAACAGCTATTGCAATTCGTGCTGGCTGCACCACCCTGTCGATGGCAACAAACAACTAACAGGTTCTTAAGTGCCAAATGCGGGACTTCATCACCCGCAACCCAGAGTACGTCTCGTTCTTGGCGCAACGGCAAGGCTTAGATGTGTCGAGCATTTCACACAGTCCCGAAGGGGATGACCAGTCGGTGGCATTTTGGGAGCGAGCGGTGGGAGGTCGCCTGTCGGAGATGTTCAGGCAAGAATCAGCTGATGCACGCTATTGTACTTTACACCATGTGTGGTGGTTGCTAGAGAAATGTTGACCGCATGTTGTGGGTTCAAGGGTTGTATGAGTCTCTTAGTGTTGGTTGAATTTTGGATCAGACTATACGCACTGAGAAAGGCAGTCTTGTCGGTTTGTTTCGATGTGATGGTTTGATCCCTTGCCGAATATGATGTCGTCCTTCCCTTCTCTAGCGAAGGCTCGTTTGGGACGTGCCAATCCTACTTGCGAAGCGCTGCCTTTCCATGGTTTTAAGGCGGTCACGATTGTTGCCATTTTTCGGCCGTCGATGTTTTGGCAAGGGTTACTCATGCCTTTTTATGCCATACCGTAAAGTTGTTGTCTTGCTTCATGATGCAGGCCCGTGGACTCCCCGTACGCGCGAGAGATGAGGGAGGCTCGGGTGAATGGAAAGGGGCCGGATGGGCAAAAGGCCCCCCCGTTGAGCGAGCTTGATATGTTAGTAGGCGACGTGCTGCACTTCAACGACAGGGTAAGTGGTTTTAACGGTGTGAGGCTTCTCCCTCCCTTAGCTCATGAGTTGCATGTTGTTGGCCTCAATTTTAGTACCTGCGCGCCGACGGTGTCTCGTCGCTTTGATACTGATGCCGGATGTTGATACCGTCGTCCTCTGTCTTTCTCTCTCTCTGTCTGTCTGTCTCTCTCTCTCTGTCTCTCTCTCTCTCTCATGCTGCACGTACCGGAACTGTATTCAGATGACCGTGCTTGCGTCAAAAATTCAAAAGAAGATGCCGCAAACCGTCGACGTTGGCGAAGAAGCGAACAAGCTCGCCGAAGATGTGAGGTGGGGCAGCAGACAAATCAAAAGACTCCTGGGTTTGGGCTCATGGACCGAACAAGGTGTTGCGACACCGCACTCTGAGGTGCAGGTTGCGGAAATTCCTTCGCAAAACGCGAACGATGCGCCCGAAAACGTTTGCGATCCAGTGTCGACCTTCCCACAAGGGAAGCAGCGAGGGAAGAAACGACAGTGGGTCTCAGACACCTTCCAAAGTTTTATGGGGTCTGTTGGAGGAAGTGCAGCTGGTGGCGTCGACGCGGTTAAGGTTGCTACAGCCGTGGAGGTGTCTGTCAAGGATGGGGGCAACCGAGAAACCGCACAGGAGTTGGAGAGGCTGCTGGGGGAGGTTAGTAGCAACGAAGGCCGCTTGGACAACCTGCTGGACTTGTCGTCGTCGATTCCAGGCAATACTGACGGTGAGGGTTGTGTGGCGCGGGTATATCACATGACACGTGGACCCCTGTCAAAGTGTTTCTGTTTGATGGCTCTTCTTCCTGCATGACAACCCCCCCTCTATTTGGAGAAAATGGATACGAAAGAGCCATCCAACACGTGTGTGTATTGTATCTTTCTGTGGCGAGGCTGGTAGCAGCAAGATGAATTTGATCTAACGGCCTTGTCCACTGGTATGGAGATTACGGCTGCAGAAGCCGTATTATAGGAGCCCATCAAATTGCACTTGACTGGTTCTGTTCGCGTCGTTTTTTTTGGAGTGAAGGCACCAACAATAGTAACAGCAACGTCTTCTCATTCACATGCTTCGATTAGCGTCTAGCTGTTGATGTCGCAGCCCCTTTTCTATTTTGTCCGTACATTTTGGGTTGAGGTTGTCTCCTTATCCCTTGCCTTTACTCGCGCATTTGTTTCAGATTGGTCTCCTCCTGCGGAAGACGGTGGAGGAGTCTCGGAAACCACCGGTACCGCCATAGACGGTAGCTCTGCAGAGACACAATGGTGACGTCTTGGTTTCTGGACGTTGGGGACAGAAACAATAGTGACAACTTCCAGGCCACGTGTGATTGCTTAGAGCATGTGTATGTATCAAGATGTGAATGTATCGAGCAGGCGTACGTGATTCGTCTGCTGGCGCTTGTCGGAGGTTGACTGTGTAGTCCGACCGACCGTGAAATTCTCCTTGTAAATAGATGACATGTTGATGTGGTACGTTGCTAATCTGTGAATCTATGAAACGGGATGCCGTTGCCGTATTGTGAAGAGCTACAGATTGGTGTAACCAGACGGTGTGGTTTGCGATTTCGACTGTGTGTGGACACAACGGGTTTTCGTTCTTGCTTGATTCCTGGTTGCGTGTTGTATACTGTAAAGTTGTAGTGTTGCGCTGCCGATCGACAGATTTTGCAATTGATGAATAACGTCTTTATTCAGAAGCAGATTTTGTTCTCCCCTCGATACCAACCAGCTGAATGATAGATAGACAGACTGTTTGCGTCGGAAAATCAGGGGATGACTACAAATGTGATGACTGTGCGACATTCCGCTGCCCGTCGAGTAGACGATAGATGAATTGTCCGCAGCGAGTTGCCCTTCTTGTGATATCCACGTTTCCCAAAGTGATAAGACCGTCGTCTTTTGTACTGTGCTTTCTTTTGGCACACGCTCTGCCTCGACTATTACACCACAACAACGAACCGTCAGGCCAGGGCGGCGTCATACTACTGCTGCCCGAGCCTTCCTCTGTCGGGTGGTATTCTCGACCCCATGTTGCTTCGGGTGGGACCAGCTCCGCCCTTAGTCACACCACCTGCCTTGCCTCCTCTGCCGTCATCATGATTGTTGTTGTTGTTGTTGTTGTTGGAGTTGGAATGAACCGGGTTGATGACACCCCCGTTGTATACTCCCTGTATCTCGCCGAGATCCTGAGCCGTCGGAACGCCACCGAGTTTGAAAGTATCATCGGAAAGGGGGGGGGGGGGGGGGGGTACTCTCATGTTTTGCATGCCTTAGCGGTTACACCATTGACCACGCGTCCTCGAGGGGACGGAGCATTATTCCCACAGGACCGATCACCGATGGCCAATCGTTCCTTCCTACTTTGCCAAAGGTGGCTCAAAAATGTCTTCCCTAGTATGTCTATCCTAACGATATCCCTTCCCGCCTTTTCAAACCACTTCCTACTCCCCAGTATAGCTACCGTCCTCTCCTCTCTTTTCCATGCCTCAAACATCTTCCTGTACGCCCCTTGCATTTTCCCCAGCTCAGTCATGTACACTTCCCTCTCCTCTTCGTACCACGGACATTCCGCGACTACATGAACACGGTCTTCGCATTCGAAGCCGCAATCACATTTTAACTTGTCGTCTGCGTCCTCTACCGTCCTATGTCTTCGTCGACGTTCTCGAAGGCTTATGTCCCCGGTCCTGAATTTGACCTTAAGCTTTGTCCCTGCATCCTTTGGTCTATGTAGGTAATCCTTGACCCCTATTACTTCTTTCAACATTCCGTACACTTCTATGATAGACCCTCCTTATCCTTGGTTTCTTTCCTTAGGTTATGCTTTTCTCTCTCGGCACAAGCAAAGATATCTTCTCATTGAACCCCTGTGGACCCTCCGTTTCCAGTGTTTTATCTTCGTCAATGTCTAACCCCTTCCATACGTCCTCTACAACCTTGACCCATTCCGTGGGGTGCCTACCCCTCTTTCTGGTTGCCCAGCCCGCCGCCCATACTATTCTCGGCAACCTCTCCTCTCCCATCCCGCACATGCGATACTGCCATGTCAGCTTTCCTTGCGTCTC